TGAGAAGACTGTGAGGTCAGACTCGGTTGGAGCGTGCAGTTCAAACCAGAGTCTGACTCGCAGTCGCCAAAATCTTCAAGTCTCCGAGTCCAGACTCAGAAATGTCAATGCTGTGATTCATTCCATGTTCCTAGCTCGTTCTTGATTACATTTACAGCTGATTTCCATAAGTTTTGGAGTGCTGACACACTTTTCGTTCAAAGCGTGAAACGAAATATTCGGGGCCTTTCCCAACTCTCGTCAAACGTCTGCGACAGGCTCAAGAACCGTACAAGTGTCGCAGGGCTCATGAGCTTGCTTTAAACAAAGGCTCCTAAGGAGCTCCACTGAGCCCTAAAGAAGCTTTCAAAGGGTCCAAACCGGCCTCTGAAAGTCTCACTGGTGTCCCTGTTCTCTGAGGGCCCATATAGGGATCTTTGAGCCTTCGAACATTTCTGAGAACCTTAACTGGCCTCTGATAGTTCAGGCAAACTTTTGAGGCGACAGACTTTGCTAACCCCAAGCCGGCATCTGAGGGGTCACAGCTCACGTGTCCCTCTGAGGTCTGCAACACATGTTTATTATGTCCCTACGTAGGGTCCTTAGGGATTCGACACAGACCCCGAGGGTTCACACTGTTATCCGAGGGCTCCAGGCTCACCCTGGGCCTAGTCTCTTAGCGCCCGCCGCCCACACTGGCTTCTGAGGGCCCCACCTTGGGCTCGGAAAGTCCTAAAGCACCACGTACACGTCAATATTTGAGGTGACCCACGCCGATCTCCGGGATCCTAAGCATGCTTCTGAGAGTCAGCACTGACCCTGAGTGGCCTGAAATGGCCTGGAAGTCCCAAACCTATCTCTAAGGGATCCCTTGCCGCTATGCCGTGCGTAACTTTTGGTTCCGTTTAACAGTTTTTGTTCGCGTTTGCAGCGCTTCCCATCACACGAAAAACGAGAAACTTTTGTTCACACTCGAATGAACAAAACACTTCCTCTCACTGGAGCAAAGATGAATTACTTCCGGTTCACACTTCCGACAGTCACTCTCCGCCGAGCCCAACTTAGCTACGATCGGCGGCTGGGATAAATCCTATGCATTTCACGTAAAACCTCTGCATGCATGCGTGAATGGAGGTTTTAGCAGGGTGAGCCGATTAAATGGAGCGTTTTTCACCTTTTTCTAGGTAATGATCATGAGCGTCGAGCGTCTGCACAGGGGCCCTCTGCAGTGCGTCGGCAATCGCAGCCACTATATACTATAATTCTACCAGTCGTTTTTGTCATAAAATTTCAAAACTTCAAATTTTTCTGTAAAAAATTACGTGTCATAGCTAGAAGGAAACCTTTGCCACCATCCGATTCCTCGCACCATTGCGCGTCGAATGATATGTAAAAAGAGTGAGTAAAGACTGGGGAAAGGCAAGTTTTAACACAAAAGTTGATTTTGCCCCCCCCAACCGAAAATCTCTGGCGACGCCTATGCCTTGCAAGGTTCGATGCGTCACTTTTGCAATGTTGACCTTGCGCGACGTCACTTATGAAGTTATAAGGGTCTTATTAGTTTTTCGTCAATAACTAGGTACCGATCAAATTGAGCTAGCGAGTCGGGAAAGCCACCTATGGACTCAAGAAGGCCTGCCGAATCGAATCATATGCGACATGACCTCCTTCGACCAATTTCGTGACCTGGGGACGCCGACCTGACCGTGACCCAAGGTCAACACCCTAAGTTTACCTCACTCAAACAAAAAGTATATCATTCGACGCGCCTGAGAGAGGCGAACACGATGCTGGCAAAATCGCGGCTCTGCGGCCATTTTTTGCGAAGTTATTCACCAAAAACGGAACCGTGCCTTGAGGCACTTGACCTGACCTCAGAGGTCACCGGTTTTTGTTTGTTTTGTTGGGTCAGGCCCTTTCGGTCCAATGAGACCATTTCAGAGCCGGAAGGATGATAGGATATAGGGGGAGACATTGGTCTGGGCAGGCACCCTAGTGAGTCGCCGGGGCTGAGCCCGTCCAGAGGACAGGCCACCCAGCCCCAAGGCACTCACTGCACCCGGCTACGGGGTGCGCTCCCTCGGGAGCAGCGGTGCCGCTCCAAGGGAGCAGCCCGCATGAGATAAAGTTGCCTGTCCAGCCCGGAGGGGGTTGCGGTATGTATGTATGTATGTATGTATTGATCTAAAATCCATCCACATAACATGGTTTTTCAGGATTCAGCGTCATGCACAATACAGTAAAATGCAAGAAGGCAATAGGCACTGGCAGATAAAATAAGACAACTAATTGCACTAAAACCGGAATAAAACACAGCACCCCAAGATCTCAGGCTTCGCTGGCCGCCACTGCGCGGCGAAACGCGGTCAGCGTGGGCTGCTCCCTGACGGCCGGCGGCAGCCGGTTCCACGCGGCAGCAGCGCGGTAACTAAACGTTCTCTGTGTGGAAGAGAGCCTACACTTCTGCAGCTCCAGGGCGCCAGCTTCTACAGAGCGTGTGACCCGGCCAGACACCTCAGAGCGGGACACAAACATGCAGCGGATGGAGAGAGGGTAAGCTGGTATGTGGAGCGCCTTCCACACCTTCAGTAGGTCCCTCTCCCACACCAGCCGCTCCACTCTGGGCCAGCCCAGGGATGCCAGAGCCGGCCCGATCCTCTCCCGACGCCGCACGCCTGTCACGATCCGAGCACTGAAGTTGATGAGTTTTTGGATCCGAGTGAGTTGATTTTTTGTGGTTCCGCCCCACACCGAAATGCAGTACAGAATGTGAGGGAACACGTGGGTCTCAATGAGTAACTTTAGCGTTTCCTGGTCAAAATGGTGGCGGAACTTGGAGAGGGATATGAGGAGGGCATTGCACCTCCTGACGATGTGACTGATGTTGGCGTCCCAGGCCAAACACGAGTCGACAGTCACCCCCAACAATTTGATGGTTGGTGACGGTTTTAAGACTGACTCAGCTATGCAGATATGAAAGTTTTCGACCTTGCTGAGAGTCTGGCGGGTTCCGATTAGAATAAAGTCGGTCTTTTGAGGGTTCATTTTAAGAGAATTTGAGCTAAACCAGTGTTTCATGACATCCAAGGAGTTTTCGACACGTTGTTTTAGTGATGCTAAATTTTGAGGGTCAGGACGCGAGTGATCGAGCAGCTGGGCATCGTCAGCATATGCGATCATCCGACAGTCCGGTAGATGGCAGTGCAGGTCGTTCGTTAGCAGGCTGAAGAGGATCGGCCCGGCTATGGATCCCTGCGGAACCCCGCAGGGGACCGGCAGGACTGTTCTGCCGCCCCTGACCAGCTGCCCCCGGCCGCCAAGATAACTACCAAACCAGGTCGGGTCGATCCCGTACCACTCCAGCTTGCGCAGGAGGACGCCGTGGTCGACGCTGTCGAAGGCCTTGCTGAGGTCAGCTGCCGTGACTGAGGAGACCTCTCCCCGCTCTGAGTTCTGGCTGATCCATTCGACAGCGTCGAGCACGGCGTCCTCCGTGCTGTGACATGATCGGTAGGCGTACTGGTTGTGAAATAAAATGTTGTGGTCCGATAGGTACCGCGACAGTTGGTCACACACAACCTTTTCAACAACTTTTGACAAGTGAGATAAAAGTGAGATCGGTCTGTGGCTAGATGGTTCGTGTACATCACCGCGTGGCTTAAGGATCGGCACCACCTCGGCAGTTTTCCACGCCTCAGGGAAAACACCTTTGGTTAGGGACACATTCACAAGTCGCAGCAGGTGGGGGCCAATCACATCAAAACAGCGCTTGACCGCACCGAGTGGCACCCCGTCCAGCCCCACCGCCCCAGACGAGTTCATCCGCCTCACAGCTCGCGCCAGCTCCGGTAGGGTCGCAGGCTGGAGCCGGAACGCCGCTGAGACTACTATAGGCGGCCGCGGGGCTAGGCCCGCAGTGACGTCATCATTCAAGTCGGCCGCGATGCGAGAGCCCACCGACGCGAAGAACTCGTTGAATCGGTCAGCGCGGGCCCGCTGCTCGGCTGCACTCTTGTCTGAAGTCGAGTGTGCTGAAGCGGAGGGCGCCAGGTAGAACCTCCTGAGGCTGGACCAGAACTCCTTGCGGTCAGAGGCCAGCAGCTGGCGCCCCAGGAACTCCCTGCGCGCCTGAGCCAGCTGAGCCTTGACGGAGTTCCGCAGGTTCCGCGGTGTGGAGGAGAAGGATTTCAGTATCCTGAGGATAGAAGCACGGAACGGTGTCAGAGGTCACCGGTTGACCTAGGACCATAAAATCGGGTATCGATCTCTGCGTCTCGTAACGGCGCACACGCTCGTTTTACCGCGACGCGCTAGCTCCACCTGGGGCGAAACGGCGAGGGGGGTCATACCCGCCCCCGCCCCCTCGGCCAGCGCGTATGTAGAAAACCTATAGGACCGGGCCGTGGAGGGTTAAACTAGCCTCTGAAGGCCCAGACCGTCTAAAAGTCCCACACCGGCCTCTGATAAGTGATAGTCAATCAGCCCAGTTGCAGTGGTCGCTGATATAAAACCTCTTAAAAACGTTATAGGCCTGGCTGAGCCTAGCTGGGCCGTTCATGCTGATTTTTATAGGTATATTGAAAAGACTCGCTTTGCACGTTTCACGCTTGCTCGTAATGAAAAAGTTGCTGGATGCCTCTGGAATTTGCACATGGGTGCCAACGGCTGCGGAGGACAGGGGAACATGTCCATCAGTTTGAGTTTATGGACGGGAGACTCCCTGAAATTTCAACCAATTTTTTTTCTTTTTTTGTCTCGATTTTTTTTAACCTCTGAGCATGTTTGCGAAAACAAAGTGGCCGAAATCCGAGGAGAAATCGGATTTTGGGGGTAGGTTAGGTTTTGAACCTTTGGGACCCTGGCCCCCTCCCCCCCCCCACTTTCGAAAACGTTCCTACGCCTATGGCCAACATTATTTTAGAGTGTGTTTATCATTATATTATAAGTATGGAGACGTGTCTGAGACAAGTAAAAGATCAGTTTGCGTTTGGATTCTGACCTTTCCGTCGATAGCAAGCGAATATGAATGTAAAAGACTGTATTTAAGCTTTAATTTTTCTTGCATGAAACCTTCGCATAATTCCGCCACGTCATAATCCTGAAGTACAAAGTACGTTTTTTCTGTTCGATGACCGTGCAACTACAACCTTTACAGCCTAAGGCTGCACCGAATGTGGCACTGGTCGACAAGAGTTCTAGCATTTAGAAGCTTCTACACCTCTCCCCAACTACAGCCCACGCTATCATTTTTCGTCTTGCCCCGCCTCCGCGTAACGTCTTCCCAGTGGAACGTATCCACAAAGCAGCACGTCCAGGCGACAGGTCCTAGTACAGGTCCTTGCAGAAGTCCTACGACCGTGTCTGCTCCGTCGAGTTTCTGGACGTGCTGGTCGTGGTGCGGGTCGTGCTCTGCGACGTTCCCGACGAAGTGGTCGTCACCGCTCCGGGGTCCTTACTGATGGCCGCGATGAGGTCATCGACGTTCAGCGTGGGGTTGTTCAGCGCGGTTAGGATAGGGGACGGGGTGGTGGTGGAGGGTTTCGGGGTTGGGGACGCCGTGGGAGAGGTTGGAGGGGGTTTAGTAGGGGGAGCGGTGGGTGGCAGGGTGGGTGGTTCGGTGGGTGGTTCGGTGGGAGGAAGTGTGGGGGAAGCGGTTGGAGGAAGTATCACTGGAGGTTCTGTCGGAGGCTTAGTTGGAGGTTCGGTGCCGGGGGATTTTGTTGGAGGTTCGGTGGGAGGTACTGTTGGAGGTATTGTTGGAGGTTCTGTTGGAGGCCCGGTTGGAGGTTCTGTAGGAGGCTCTGTAGGAGGTTTAGTAGGAGGTTCTGTAGGAGGTCGTGTAGGAGGCTCAGTAGGAGGTTTAGTAGGAGGCTCCGTTGGAGGTGCTGTTGGAGGTTCGGTGGGAGGTATTGTTGGAGGTTTGGTTGGAGGCATTGTTGGAGGTTCTGTAGGAGGTCGTGTTGGAGGCTCGGTTGGAGGTGCTGTTGGAGGTTCGGTTGGAGGTCTTGTAGGTGGTTCGGTAGGAGGTTTAGTTGGAGGTTCAGTTGGAGGCATTGTTGGAGGTTCGGTTGGAATTGTAGCTGGCTTGACGGGATGCATTGCTGGTGGCAGTGTGGGTGGTTCGATAGGAGGTTTTGTTGGAGCCTCATTTGATGGTGTCTTGAAAGGCTTTATAGTTTCCAGAAACGGTAGATCATCCGCTAATTCAGTGGCCGATTTGGTATAATTCACAGGTTCTGAGGGCGCTCCTCCAGGAGACTTCGTACGCAGTATGGTTGGAAAGGCCCTCTTCGGAGACCCAGCGATGAATTCCTTTCCCCGCCTGTGTTTCACAAACGTCGTATCCCACACCACGAACACTGTGCTGAGGAGCGGCACAAGGAACGACGGCTTCACCAGGCTCTCCATGATGTTCCTCAGGTAGCGCCTGGCTTGGGAGGCGTCGGGCAGCAGGAGGGGCTCGTCATCTCCCAGGGTGGCCAGGTACCGGCCGGAGCCCGCGTACTTGAGTACCGGGGTAACGGCCCGGCCGAACGTCCACCGGTACGCGGAGGACGTCAGTTGCACTGTCCTCGTGCTGGTGCGGTTCGCTGGAATACGGGACAACAAAACAGTGTTAGAAAGGGAGGGAAAGGGTGGTCGTGTCGTTTGATGAAGAAAAAAAACATCCGTAGTGACTGGTAGCTGGCTGAAGAGAGCTGTAGTCCGATAGCTAAAGATAACAGACGTTAACCCTATTCCTGGCGGGGGGGGGCCTCAGGAGCCCCCCCCCCTGAGGTTTTTTGGTTATTTCTCCCAAACGCGTTGAGCTAGGAAGCTCAAATTTTCTGACTTTTCCTAAAAGGCTTCTACGCAACATGTCTGAAAATTTTGAGTTGATCTGACCTCAGGTCAGGTCACCAGAGGCGGTTTGGTGACCCTACCTCAGAAAAGTTTGCAATCACGCCAGAGCTAGAGTTTTTGACCGATCAATTTCTTCTCTTCAGGCTTTAGTTAGGGTACCAGTATGTGCAATTTGTATATCTCGGAATTTTGATATCGGTGACCTAAGGTCAGGTCAGTTTCGCGACCTCCCCATTATAAGTCAATGGGGGAAAAATCAACTCCCTGTTTTTACCACTAAAACGGGTCGAAATGGCCCCATATACCATACATGACTTCATATACGATCAACCTTCACTACCTTGAGGTCTGTTTTGCTGTTGGGCAGCTGTGAGGTCATGTGACGTCATCAAAGGTCACCAAAGGTTTTTGGCCAATAACTCCGTACAGGAACAAGATACAGACGCGTGGATGGTCTCATTGTGTTCAGCTCGTCAAGACGCATCGAATGATATACATGATGACCTCGAGGTCACGTGACCTGAGGTCAACCTTTGACCTTGACCTTGCGAGGTCAACATATATATCATATTCGATGCGGATTGACGAGAGGATCACGATGATGCCCTTAGTTTGTTCCTATCTTGACTAATTCGAAAGTTATTCGAGAAAAACTCTCTCCATATCTAGCACCGCCATTTTGACTTTTTCGACCCCTGTGACGTCATCTTTGACCTGACCTGAAAATGAACTTAGTAAAAATTGTAGATCTTGACCGTGCGTATCCGATGCCGTTTACCGTTTGTCGCTATCTTGCTTCGTTCTCGAGATCTCAGGGGGGGGCCGAATCGGCCCCCCCGCCAGTTTCTTGTCCCGGCGGAGCCCGCCAGGAATAGGGTTAAGTGGAAATGTTATTAAAGAATCGCCTCGAAAAAAGGCAATCATGGAGTTTTGATTGCATGGAATGCTACTGATGACTGAGCATTATTAACGGGAAAAAAATTAAGTTCATTTATAAGAAGACTGTCATTATAATTATGAAGGGGGAACCGGGGCAAAGTGGACACCCTAACGCTGTTTTCTATGCCGATGGTTTATTTCTAAAACTTGGAATGATTCTCACTATGACAATAAGATCCCTACTACATTGCCTTTCATTTCAATTTTGTTTTATTTATAAGGGCGTTCACATGTAGGAGATATTGGCAAAACTTTAAACCTATGCATTGTTTTCACTTTGCCCAACCACGGGGCAAAGCGGAGACTGCCAGCCTCTTGTCCCAGATATGAGACCACATAGTTGCACGTAGTTGCCTTATGTGCAGTCCACAGTAGAGATGTCAATCGGATACCAACTGTTTGGTATACCGATACCAAACCGATACCAACTTGGTATTTGGTATTTCAAGGCGAGTGCATTCACTGGCGGTCGCAGCCGCTAGCAAAAGGGGGGGGGGGGCCAAACTCACACTCGCGGGACATAACATTTATCCGTCACCGGAGGGGGGAGGGGGTGATCATCGGCTAATGTTTTACGTCCACGAGGCGCCGCGCAGTTGGCACTACTTATTGCTTCATCCATCTCATTCTTGCGTGGAATCTTTAAGCTGAATTTAAGGCAAAATCACCAGTTCCATTTCCTGTCCCACGCTGTTTCCACCGGTCGGGCCACTGCACCATGGCGACGGATCGGTGTAGCATATACTTGAAGGTCGGGCACGCGGATTCATGACCTTACTACTATAAAACAATTCGGAAAAGTACAGATACCTGCCTCTTGCTTTGAACAAGCATGTGAAATTTCATGCTCATGCTAAAAAGACTGGCCCTGAGCCCTGAGGACTTCATCAGTCTCTGCCAGCCCCAGGACCCACAACGGCTCATGGGGTCCCGACGTCCAAATATGAGGGAATCTACGCGGAACCATCAGGACGTAAAGTGATCTCGATCAGGACCAACGTAAGGGTGTGCAGGTCGCAGGAATCTGCGTAAGCCCTCTGATCTTCAGAAGCCCACCCATGTATGTTTTCACTTAGAGGCCAGTTTAGGGCCTTCAGACACCAGTACAGGGCCTGAAAACTGCAAAGGCTAGTAGTTTGAGACCATCAGAGACCGAGTTAGGCTCTCAGAGGCTAATGTGGGTCCTTACTCATTACAAGCCAACATGGGACCCTCAGAGGTCAGCGTGGGGCTCTAAAAGACCGGCATGAGCCTCCGTTGGACCACAGTGGCCAGCAGAGGGCCCTCAAAGGCCAAGATGGGCCCCCCTCAGAGGCCAATGCAGGCCCTTAGAGGCCGGCATCGGGTCTTTAACAACCAGTGCGGGGCCCTCCTTGGCACCTAAAGGCTCGTCTTGGGACACCAGAGACAGAAATAAGGCCACCAGAGACCGGTGTGAGACGCTCAGATGCCGGATGGGGCCCCTGAGGCCGGTTAGGGGCCCTCATAGGCCAGATGTGGGGTTTCAGAGGTCGATATGGGCTCTTAGCGGCCAACGTGGGCGCTTGACCGCCACTGAAGTTCCCTCAGAGGTCAGTGTAGGACGCTCAAAGACCGGTGTGGGAGCTGTAGTTAATAACTGGGAGTGGGTTTTTTGAGCCTCGTGACGATCGAATAAGGGCCAGGGCCCCATACAGATACACCTATGGGGGCCCATCGGCCATCGGTTGTTTGAGGGGGGGGGGGCAAATGATATGAAGGCCCCCTTTATTTGCCTTTGGGGGGGGGCATGGCCCTGATGCCCCCCCCCCGCGACCGCCACTGTGTACACGTTACACACAGGCCTCTGAGATTGCATACTAGTTCATGCAAACTCTATGCAGGCCCCGGAGGTCCCACGCTAATCCTTAACCCGCGAGTTGCTGGGGGGGGGGGGCGTTAAACGCCGCCACTTTTTTCGCCGGGCCATAGCATAAAAACGGCGCGCCGCAGGCGCGCCAAATTTTTGGTACCTGTAGGGAATTGATTGAAGTGTATTTTGACAAAGTTTCAAAAAAAATCGGTCGGAAAATTTTTGAGATATCGAGGTTTTAGTGACGTCATGATTTCTGAGTTTTCGACCAAAAACGGCATATGTTCAAAAAATCATATAAAATCACAGAATAGACATACAGACATGCCGTAAACGCCATTAGACTGCCAATACCATGAACAATCAAATGGCTATCTTCGATTATTGATTGTCTTTCCGGATTTTCCAAAATCTTCAACTGAATCTTGGCAATTTCTCGTGACTTCTTCACGACCATGATACATGCATTTCTTAAATCAAACTTTTTGAGCCAAACACGTACACATATGATAAAATGAATGTCACCATCGTGTTCTACGCCCCATATTACCCATAAAACATGTGTCACAGGCTGCGAATATCAGTTTTGATTTTCGGGGATATTTGCCTACCCGGTTGACCTGACCTTGACCCTGACCTATGCTTGACTGACCCCTAACTACATGGCGCTGACACTCTTGTAGGCCTTATATGATGGATTGTGCACCGTTTTGACAGTTTATGACGAGAGGCGCCCATTGCGAAGTCCTGAAGTCCATGCTACTGAAAGCCCGATTTCAGGTGTTTGACCTCACCTTGACCCGACCTGTGACCTCAAAATTCAACTTTAAAGTACTCATCTGAAGCGTCTCGTCGCGTTCTTTCGTTTGCCGCCTCGTGCGTTTCGCTGCGCCTATTGGTTCTCGAGTTATCGGCTGGGGGCGTTTAACGCCCCCCCCCCCCCAGCAAACGGTGGGTGGCGAAATACCCCAGCAACTGCCGGGTTAAGAAACCAAGCCGGCATACGGCGTCACCACCGGGCTTCTGAGGTGCACAGCACCAACCCATGAGGTCTTACTTTAGTGACTTAGTGTCGTAGAGCCACGCTCATTTGGCAGGGCCCACCCGCCACTGCCTAAGAGGGTCTCATGCCAGCCATTGCTGGGCCTAGAGAGCCTCAAATAAACCCACGCTGATATTTCATATAAGATCCGGCCATACCCGTGAACCGCGGTGCCAGCGACGCTGACCGTCAAATTGACAGAATGCGAAACTGAGCCTACTCATGAGTGAAATTTACGTCCTTTGATGGCGCAAGAAAGAAAATGAAACATACAAAAAGCTTTCTAGGACTTTTGTTTGATCTGAAAGGTGGGGCCAAAAGATAGTATGGCCCCACCTTTCAGTACCAAAGGGGGGCCATGGCCCCCGTGGCCACCCCCCTGGGACCGCCTATGAGTGCATTTGGTATTTTGTTGGTATTATGAATCCTCACTAATGTAAAAGAGGCTGAGAATTTGGTAAAAAGTTGGAATTTTCCTCATATTCCCAAGTCGGTTCGGTTTCGGTATTTTTCCATGGATATTGTTGGTATTTGGTTTGGTATCGGTATCACGATTTTCCGTAATTGACATCAGTAGACTCCACAGCAGAAGTAGTGTGCGGTTTCAGTCAGGGTATGTTCTGATCTGAAGCTTAGGAACGATTAGCCAGACTACAATGAAACTTTGAATGTAGCTTACATGTATCGTCAGCCTTGCAGCTGCAACTTTATCTATTGACGTCTTCTTTTCGATCACCCCGCATTAAAAAATCGGCAGTCAAAGCCATCCGTTGAGATTGGTAAAACCGCACATTACCTTAGCGGTGGGCTGACGACTGGAGTTTTTTTTTGTAGTAAGGAGGTATGAACAAGGAAGGAAAGGATTTTGTCCAGCTTCCAACAGCAACAACAAAAAAAAAACTTGAAACTGGAGGCTGTCCACTCTGCCCCGGCCACTTTGTCCGCGTTTATCGTCCGAGACAAAAGTCATCCAGCTCAGTTATTAGTGGGACAAAATGCATCAAAATTGGCAGAGATGTACGATTACCACGCAATGCATGAATGACGACGCCTAAATAAACTTCCAAACGGCTATGGAATACAATAAATCTAAAAGCGTAAGAAGAGTTACTAACCTGGGAAGAAATGTCTTTCCGTGTGTCACGGAACAATGGCGATAGGCCGAAAGCCCCGGTGTGGCTCATATGAACGACCGCAGAACTATAATTGGCAACCATAAACTGGAGTTGACGTCAGTTGTGAAGGGCTAAAACGCAGGGTGTCCACTTTGTCCCGGGTGGCCACTTTGTTCCGGTCTCCCTAGCTCACTTCGAAGTTAGGCAGTTTTCACGTGCCCACACTCATGGATATTTCCCTTGGTTCGCCTGTTATTTGCCAATACCGTCAATATATGTATGTGAATCGCATTACGCATACTTGATGTTAAATGGAGAAAATGACAGCTATGCATCCAGTTAGCTGGTTAGTGACTTAAACCACATGGTGAGAAAGAAAAAATGCAAAGCTAAAGACAGTCAATGGCCTTCTTTGGAAATGTGCATGACCGGAAAATTGCTTGATGGTTAAAAACCATATCAACACAATTTTTAATTATGTAACAATTATTTTTGCGTTTGTTTGCATTTCCAAATGTCTTTATACATATAGAGCATGATTCATGAAACTGTTAAAATGGATCTATTGCTTGTCTGTGAACTCAAGTGTATTGTATCACTTAACCCTCGCCCGTATTGGTGTTTTCCCAGCCGCGAACGTATAAGGGGGGGGGGGTCCGTTGGACCACCCCCCTTGCCGTTTCGCCCCTGATCGAGCTAGAGCTTCGCGGAAAAAAAACGAGCGTGTTGCCCGTGACGAGAGGAAGCCGATGATACCTAATTTTAAGGTCCTAGGTCATTGGTTGACCTTGCAGGTCAGGTCAATGACCCAAAAGTCGGGAAAATCGGGACCTGTTAGAACGTCGTAAAGTGTGGCTGCTATGGGGTTTTTCGGGGCGCTGATCACGAATAGCATGTTAGTTTTGATCACAGATGATGTCTTTATGCATTTTGTCCAGGTCGGGTCAGGTCAGGTCAGGTCAACCAGTAGGGGGTCCTGCCGGGTATTCCTAGTAGGTGTCAACCGCCTCTGACAGCTTCGTAACATGTTACGAAGGCACCAAAACTACTTCGTAAATGTTCATATGGTTGCTAAATTCGAATTCAGCTCCAAAAACTGGCCTAGAAACATGTAAAACTCGAAAAAGTGAACCGAGGTCACCAAAGGTCAATGACCTGACCTGACCTTCAGGTGACCTTGACACCCACCCTAATGCATGGGGGCAACATCATATCACATGTTTGAACGCTTGAAACCACGAAAAGACTGCAAACGCGCGGCTAATGCGAGCCGACATACGCCGAATCGCGATTCCGGCCAAACATGGTCTCGAAAAGTAGGTCACAGGTCAAAGGTCATTGGGGTCAGGGTCATGAAATTTTCTGGGTAGGTGTAAAATTGATTAACGCGAGGGTACTGAAAGTTTCGTCGCGATCGGTCGCTTTTTACGTGAGTTATTCGCGAAAAACCATGGGGGGGTCCGTTCGACCCCCCCCCCCCCCTATACGGGCGAGGGTTAAAGGAAGGGTGCCACCTTTTGGACACAACGCAGTTTTTACAAGATTAGCCTCACATGAACCTAAAAACCGGCTTCACTTACCTATGCTCGAGACGGTCAGCATTGAATCCGCACGTGAAGTTATCATTTGCGAGTTTTGCTGCCAGCATTCGGGCAGGCAAAAATCTTCAGCACTATTTCCTCGTCGTGTTAAGGGTATTTTATAAAACATGAAATCAGCAAAGGTATGTATAAAAGTTATACTTTTGAAGCATGTTTTATCATTTTGAAAGGGTATATTTTTTTCTTTATGGTATACACTTAAGTTTTAAAATTTTAATTGGGAAGTTTTTCTAGTAAGTTGCATGAAGGGTGAAGGGTTCCATAGATCTCTTAAGCATTGTAAAGGAAAAACCTTTACTCGACTTATTTGATGTTCTTTAACTGTTGGCAAATATGGCCAACAGTTACCTACTTGGTTACCTACAACTTAGTTCAAATCATGTTATCTTCTTCCTTTTTATTTGTTCATCTTTTTGTCTCAGTTGCGCCATCAATGCAAATGGCAGAATGATATGTTGCCATGACAACAGGATATGCCAGCCGTCCTAGCTGCCACATCAAACGACCTTGAGTTGTAGTGGTGATATAAACAACGATCTTTTTTTTGGCCAATGTATTAAATGCAATGTTTCGTTTTTTTGTATATTGTGGACGCGCTAATCACGTCTAAAAATTCAAATAAGTAAAATAGATTCATAGAACAAAAATTTCGGAAGGTGGCACCCTTCCTTTAAGCATTATAATATCGTTAAAACTCAAGGTACTATTGAATATTCAATGACTTACCCCATAGCCTAACTTGTAGAGGCGTGTACGGCACTTGGGCTTTCAAAAAATAGTATTCCTCTCTGTAGACGTTATAATGCCGCTTTCCTGCCAATGAAATAAGGTGACAAAGGTCAGAATTAAAATGGATCTGTCGAGTTGCAATCAACGGCAGTTAGCAAGGTAAACTTTTAAGTGTGTAACTGGTCTCAGACGCAGTTCGCATTGCGTTTTCGGAAAACATTGCAACTTATCTATCCCAGTGGGCCGCATTTTAATCCTATATAGTGACCTCACTCCTCAGGCCAGGTTTCCAGGTAACAAAAACTGGCACATAGTTAGACAATGTCACTTAGATGGCTTTATTTCTGGAACACTGCCGATATTTCCTCTATTTATTGACGTACCTCCATATCTCTACCTATATTCACCCCTGGCTAACCCATTTTGCACCCATTCTTGCTGCATGTGACGTACACCCCTTCCCATCACTATTTCCTCCAGCGTTCCTTACCTGCAATAGAGCACGCCACCAGCAAGCAGATCAGAGCTCCATAGCGTCCCAGCCTACTGATTTCTTTCATGGCCGCTAATCACAGCTTTCCGGACTTCGAACACTCGATGAAGGCTCTTGGTCCGATCTGGTCCTCTGAGACAATCCAGGTCGTGTTTGGTTCCGTAAGGTGGTTTAGACCTTTTAGATCAACCTTCGCCCCAATGAGGGGGCATATGTTACCACCCTGTCGCGTTTTTTGCGTGTGAATAAAAAACCGCGGCGCGTAGCGCCGCGCCGCTTGGGGTAGCTTTTGGTACATCAATTTTGGACAATTTGTGAAAGTTTTGACCCCAGGTCGTGTCAGGTCAGGTCACCAGGTCAAGTTAACTGATCATGCCTAAAAAAGTTTGCAATCATGTCCAGCCTGCAGTGTTTGTCAGAAAGGTTTTAAAGTTGGTGGATTGCATGATGTTATGGGTGCCTACAATTTTTATATCTCGGATTTTTTATATGCGTGACCTAAGGTCAGGTCGGTGGCGTGACCTTACCATTATAAGTCAATGGAGAAAAATGAAAATGCCTCTAGATCCGTGTGTACGCATCGGAACAGTCAAAATATTTCAGAATCTCAATGGTTTGGACCACCCGTGATGACCAAGGTGTCATTTTTGCTGATAGCCTCTAGAAAGGTCATCCGAGGTCATTTGAGGCTACAAACAGATTTTTGCCAATAACTCAAGATTGGAAAGAGATAGAACGCTGGGGATGGTCTCATTGTGTTTGTATTGTTGAGACGCATCGACTGATATGCAACATGACCTTTTCTGGTCAGGTCATGACCTTGACCTGAGGTCAAATTTTCAAGTTGACCTTTCAAGGTCAAATTATAGTTCATTCGACGCGTCTCTGCAAGAGGAACACGATTCTGGCAATATAAATGTTGTGGCTTTTTGAAGTCGAAAGTTATTGTCGAAAAACACTTTCCGTAAAAATAGCTATTTTTGGAGTTTTTGCCCTCTGGAGGCTAAACCCTTGACCTGAGGTCAATTTTGATAATGACCTTATCAAAAGAAGAGCTCAAAAGCTATCGATTGCTTTTCCATGTGTTTTTCTAGCTACCATAGTTCCTGAGATAAAGGCATGTTTTCTGAAAAATATAATGACCATTGGGAAATTTTGACCTTTGATGACCTCTGGTGACCCCAATATTGCTCTAAGATGAAAAATGACTGAAATACTTTCAAACGTACGCATTGAGAGCTATCGACTGCTTTTTACCGCGTCTTTCTAGCCCTCTTAGTTTTTTTAGTTAGAGGTGGGTACTGGGTGGTAACATTTGCCCCCCCCCCCCCCACCCACTAGGGCGAAGTTGGCTGAGACCGCCACTGGGGCGCGGGTTAAACTTACGCTGATCAAGGCCTGATAAATCTTCTAAGAAATCACTGCCCAATACTTTCTTGTCTTGTCTAGGAGATGTCAAAGATCACTGTGTTCAGTATAAAAGGTTCAGACTGTTTTTCCGAGCCGGTACCCGCGACCTGGGTCCGTTCTGGGCTGTCACTGCACCCAGCCGTGGCTCGGTGGTCCGCGTGGCCCAAACACACGGGCACCGACCGACCGACTGAGACCTGACGCTAATTTTCCCAGTACAGGGGACTCCTCATGTGACATGCACAGAAAGATCACAGGCGTCAGGCGAGGTCATTTGGCCGGCGAAATGTGTCAACGGACAGATCGACCAATAAACCCGACAGGAACGAGTCATCGCTGTAAAAGACGATGAACTCGTAGACCAGAGTTTTTTTTTAATGTAAAAGTGAGGGAATTGTGTCAAATTTATTTGAATGTATTTTGCCCATATTCTTTATAAGCAAAAACGAAAAATCTGGTGAGGATAATACATAACCTACATTTTATATTTTCAATCGTATCCTTAGTACGGCTCTTCACAGAGGCCTCAATACATTGTCGATCACATTTACAGGACGTGTGAGCGTCAATGCCGTGAGCGCCAATGCTGCGCCGTGGGGGGGGGTGAAAATGGGGGAGTGGAGGGGGTAACGATTGCAGCGAGTCTGACGCACGGGCACGGAGTGAGTATCAGAAAGACGAGACCGTCCCTGCCAACCATAGTTATAAAGACCTGCCAACTGTCACTACTGAGCCGAGACCGGCTCGGCGGCGGCGCTAGCAGCGCGATATAAAGCTCGACAGGTGTCGCCAGCTTCTCGTCCAACGCCCGCTGAGGACTGAACGATTTGAGGACTTACCGCTCAAGCAAGCAGGCCAAAACTGCGTAAGCGAATGGTGGCGCGCCAAAGCACGTAAGCACGATAAAGCCCGTGAAGACAAAAGTTCGTACCACAAAAGAAAAAAAGACGGAACAAAACCTAACTTCAAGTAGCCTTACCCAACCTAGAAAGCTAACCAAATCAAACCCAAACTAGCATAGCCTGTAACCTATCATTTTATCTCAATTGCTTCATGCTCTACGAATATTTGCGGTGCACATTTTTGTCCTATGCGCATTTCCTGGCGTACATTTGTAATACGATCTTTTGTGATCCAAAGTTTTGCCAGCAACTGTCAGCCCTGAGAACAGGGATGTTTACCCGTTCGAGAAATGCTGATAGCTCCTATAGATATCGCCATAAAACTGTTTACATGCGGTCTTGCATCGAATCCACTTGGTACAGAATTATCATATTCTCGACTGAACCAATCGACTTCGACTTTGACTGGGCCTGAACCATTAGACTGGATATATTTTCGAGCGAATCTGATCGACAGATAAGTATAGGGGAAGCGGGGGTAGCACCGCCATGTGGGAAACACCGCCATCCTCTCTATCGGCGAAACTCTGAATTGTAAATGTAAACACCCGCCATTTCGGTGTCCGAACGGAAACGGGACGCCGCGTGAGGTAGGTTTCGCTAAGATTTATTTGATTTTGAGATCGCAATTGCCCATTTTGTGAATTTCAAACCATCGTTGTAATCATTTGGCATGTTTGAGCAGCAAGTAAGTGGTCATTTCAAGTCAAAATGCCTTGATTTTTACGTTAAATTTGAGGGCATGAAGTGCTCTTTGTTGAGAAAGGAATTACAGAAGAATCGCATCCCGGCTTGTTTTGCTGTCGAGGCGTTGTCGGTCCATGACTGTGAGTGGGGTAACACCGCCATGCTCGGCGGTGCTACCCCAAGGGGTGGCAAAATGGATAAAGCCGCAATGATGATTCACTCAGCTCGGAGAAGAGCTTTAGTTAGGCCGCAAACGTCGTCTGTTTTTTAACCTCACGTTTGACTTCACTGGATGTTTCGAAATAAACGTGAATTTGTCATGCCTTGTATGCATATTGTCCGCAACAAACAGTCTGATCTGTGACAAACTAACAACCAACTCTTGTGTGTCTTATATGAGTTTGAGTTACCATTTCAGACAGCAGTAACGCTTCCAAGGGTGGCTGTCACCGTAAGGCCGATCTGTGGATAACATCGCCATCAGTGGCGGTGCTACCCGCACATTTTTTGGAGGACGAAAAATGCAGGACTTGTTTTTGACGTCTGTAAAGTAGCGAAATTTTATAATGGAGCGCTGGAAACTATGCCAACATGTAGGAAAACATTCCTACTTTCACATGAATGCAAAAGAGCTTCGTTTTTACTACGCATATCAGCTCGGTGAGCAGAAATGCTTAAGGTGGCGGTGCTCCCCCCGCTTCCCCTAACCGATGACCTTTTCTACATCGTCAGGTCACAGTCCGAGCCTGAGTTCAAATTTCAAACCTCGCCTGCCCTGGGGGGGGCACCCCCAGGCAGATCTCTGCGCTGTGATTTAGCATCATTAGAGCTAGAAGTCTGATTTTTTTTTGTATGGCTGCTGTTTTATATTTTGCTACGTCCACTGAAAATTTCAAGTTTCCCAGTGGTCTTTGGTTTCGGAGACTTAGTACGGGTCGGGTCATATCATGACTCAAATGGCCCATTCCCAATATCTTGCGATAGCTGTGGGTCTTGTTGAACTTTTGATACCTTGATTTAGGATTTTTGCCACTTCTAACTCTCACCTATCATTAAATATGTCCAGTGGCGGATCCAGGGGGGCCAAAATGGGCATTTGCCCCCCCCCCCAAACGGCATAATTTTAACATTATGCCTATGGACGATGCATGGAAAGAATCGATAAATTGTTATGGTTTCCCCCCCCCCCCAAAAAAAAAAAAACTCTGAGCTGGATCCGCCTCTGAATATGTCACACGCACACACCAATTGCTTGTACTTACACCTTACGTTGATTTTACCGGCGTCGCGTTTCTCTCGTTGAGACAGGTCGAATGAACTGAAAAAGTTGAAAAACTTGAAAGAAAAGGTTGACCTGAAAAAGTCAGCTTCAAATTTGACGTGGGGTCAAGCCTCCGTCAAGGTCACAGAAAAGGTTATGTTGGGTACTGGTTCTCTCGTGCAAAGGGTACCCCGAGCTTCAAGAAGATAATCCATAGATAGGAACTACAGCACAGCCTCACAAACTCACGATGCGAAATTGATGTGTGACAGTAGGTATACATTTCGTTCCTTGGCTCACTTCTCTCGAAGGATGCTTTGGCTCTGGAAGGACGTTCTGGCTCACTTCTCTTACTCTCGATGGACGTTAAAGGGAGATAATGAGCTTTCTTGTTTCTTAAATAAAAATTACTCGACATCTATACTATTTCTACTGTAGTTTCTATAAAATATGAAAATTTCCTAGCACATTTTCGTATGTGAAAAAGGTTTTTATTTTTGCAAAAAAGAAGCAGTACTTGCAGTACTTGTAACACCCACCGAAATGCGTTGTCCTTCTCTATAAAAAAGTCGCAGTATATGGCGCTTTTGTTTCAAACAGCGACGCTTGGGTTTTTGTTTATGTTATCGCCTTGTCGTTGCTTGGTTGTAAGGATTCTAATTTGAATTAGAGTTAATTCGGTTTAGAATTAATTAGATTCTAATTCGGGGGTACATAGTGCCTACTCTTCTTTGTTTCCAAGTATTATTTTGCGCCACAAATGAACGGCATGCGCCAGAAACGCAGCCAAATCTTGCGATTGCGACTACGAAATTCATTATTTTGGCCTCAGAGCCTGAAGCGAAAAATACAAGCATATTTATTTCAAAAAGACTTCAGGTTTGTCGAACGGTGTTCTGAAAATTTTGATAACAGTACTGCATAAGTTTTTCAGTGATGCCGCAAAAGTGTTGTATCTATCTTCTTTTATTGTGCAGTCGGCGGGACCGATTCAAAATTGAGTCGTTGCTACTAAAATAGCAGCATATGGCGACAGATGATGAACAGGAAAAATAGTTGCGTAAATTTAGACATAAACCACCCCCAAACCATGAATATCTTTTGAAGGCACTATAGACGACCATTAACTAACTAGATGTGATGAAGATCAAATGTAATGAATACGCTCATTTTACAAAATTACATGCAAGTACCAAAAAGTGATGTAAGTACTTATTCAACGGTCATTTTCAGCGCTCCCCGCTAACGTGACTTCAAGTTGAGATATTTGCGGCAAGGTACCGAATTGAGCAAAATGGTTTTAATTTACATTATAACTTGTTGTGTTTTGTCAGAAAATGGTCCTAACTCAGATTTTGTGGGAAAAGGTCATAATCTCCCTTTAAAGACGAGCGTTAGAAATGAGAGACAAGGTTATTATGATGCCGCTATAGACATTGTCGTTTGTCAGATATTTTAGGTTTTACTAAAAAAAAAACACGAATTTGGCATTGACTGCCTCTGCCTTTGGAAAGATCATGTTTTTTTTTTTCTCAGCGGAATGACTGATCAACGTTCAAAGTTGCATCTTTATAAACGGATGCACCTATCCTGCGCGTTACACTGCGTGTTAGAATGCATGCAGCATCAGCGCTAAGGAGCTTACCCACACGTTGCATCACCACACAACGCCGAGCCGCGCTGAATATGTGATGCGTATTGCCCATCCGATTATACCGGCGCGGCGTGGCGTTTACGAACGCTGGGGGAGCGCCAGGACGCCAACCAACTGTGATTGTAAAACCGAGAGGCGGGGGAGGGTGCATTAGCATCTGTTGACATTGACCTTGGTCGGGGTAGGGCCGTCTCGCCGCGATGAGCCGCGTTTTTAGGTAATTCTTCATCCTCAGGCGGTCGCGGTGGGAGGGGGGGAGGTGAATCTTGGTGAAGAGTTGGGTAAAACAAGGCGGCGCTGTGACTTGTGTGATGTGTGGGTTGGGTGTTCTGATTTGGTCAGAACTGAAAATGGGTGGGGCTCGAAACTTTAGGTAATTGGGTGGAGCGTAGAGTAGAGACATCCATAAAGCCCCAGCCATCCAGCTATAAAATGCAAGCACATTGGTCGGAAGAGAGAGAGAGAGAGAGAGAGAGAGAGAGAGAGAGAGAGAGAGAGAGAGAGAGAGAGAGAGAGAGAGAGAGAGAGAGAGAGAGACAGAGACAGAGAGACAGAGAGAGAGAGAGAGAGAGAGAGAGAGAGAGAGAGAGAGAGAGAGAGAGAGAGAGAGAGAGAGAGAGAGACGGACAGACAGACAGACAGAGAAAAGAGAGAGAGAGAGGGAGAGAGAGAGAGGGAGATAGAGAGAGACAGACAGACAGAGAAAAGAGAGAGAGAGAGAGAGAGAAGAGAGAGAGGGAGAGAGAGAGAGAGAGAGAGAGAGAGAGAGAGAGAGAGAGAGAGAGAGAGAGAGGGAGGGTGGGGGAGGGAGAGAGAGAGGGGACGGCAGTATATGGACAGATATTTTCTGGTCAGTCCACACTACGGATGCACCATGTCCGGAGTGACGACAGCGGACACCCGGAAGAGGACAGATTAGGAATGGACGCGGCTGCTCTGTACTTTCCAACAGAACGGAAACACGCAATGGAGAGGGGGCGCGACTAGCGCTTTTAAACTGTGCCGTCTTCAGGCAGCGCGTCGTTGTAAGTAAGGCTGAAAATCATGTGTGTATTTGCCTGGTAACTGGTCGCTTTTCGTTTCTGACGGAATTGAGCGCCTGCCTCGCCGTTACTTGCAGAACTACATAAGTGCCTTTCACACTGTGCAGTATACCCTCAGCCATCAATTCAGCCGGACACTGGCACAGTCAGACAACACTCCAGCATACGGCCCCACCTCACGTCTCCACCGCTTCAGAGAGGGTGCGTCCAGAGAGGGCGCGCCGAGGTCACGGTCTTTACCCCCCCCCCCCGTTCCCCCCCCCCCCCCCCAGCGCCAGACTGAGTCACAGCCGAGTCCGAGTCGGAGTCAGTGCGGGTCGCAGTGGCCCGGCGCCGGCGGACGAGGCAGCACTGGACGAGAGTGGTGGTGGACTAAGTAGTTAGTCGGTTGAGAAGCTTGTAAGGGCTGTGAGGAGAGAAGGAAGATTGCGGGCAGTGGTGGAGTGAATGTGTGAGGTGTGGAGTGAAGGTATACAGCGAAACTGGTGCTCGAAGGCGTGGTGCACCGCAATGTTACAGGGGTGGTGGTGTGGGTGACTGTTGAGAGGCAACTCACGTGGCTAATGGACAGGTGAATTACTAGTAGTAGTAGTAGACAGTGCCAGCACAGCGCTGAGTCGGAGTGCCACGGGTAGGCCGAGTGCCCGGAGGTGGAAACGGTGCTCCAGTACGAATAGTGTCTCGCTCGGTGGTAGACCGGGGGCTCGGTGCCGAACAGAGTGCATCGAGGCGAACAGTTGCAGTGCAGTCAAGTGCAGTCAAGTGCAGTGCCGTGCAGTGCAGTGTGGCGGACCCTGAACACTCCAGTCTGTGTCTGGGAGTGTCGCACACGGAGCAGTCGAGGCTGTGGGGAGTGCCCGGCGCCCATAGCACTCCACCCCACTGAGGAGTGTCGCCCTGAGCACTCTAGCACCCTGTGAGGAGTGCCGCGCCCGCAGTATCACCAGTAGAGAACCGTCTCCGTCCCATATGTGGCCGCACCGGCGCTGGGCGCGGCTTGGTGCCGTCCTGGCCCCTCCCCCACTGGTGACGGTGATGCTGGTGGTGCTGGTGATGTTTCCGGGTAGCTCCGCAGAGCAGTGGTACCGACCCAGCTCCAGTGTGTGTCTGTTCAGCCCGGCGGACTCGGCAGCACCCTCCTCTGTCCGCTGCCACCTGAACGGCAATTCGGTGAGCTCCCAAATGTGAATCACAAGTGCGAAGTCGCGATTAACTTTTTCAGTGATGGAAACCGGAACTCCATTTGCACTGTGCAATGCGTACAGCTAAGATTTAACAGTCATAATAAGATTGTTCTACAAACCGTAATGATGAATCTCGTAATAAAGAAGAATAAGATAAAAGATAAAACTGTTTGATCACTTCTCGTTTTATCCGCTTTTCCACATCATATCTTGCCTTTGGCTCTTGATTCAAATTGGTTTCAAATAGGAGTACCTACTTGAATAGCGAGTGTATAAAAAGTCCATTGTCATTAAACCGATGCGAACAGGCTGTGTGTGTTTTCGTGTAGGATGCCCTTCCACCCTAATGTATTTCAAACGTTTTCTTTTTGTTTTCCAGATCACTATCAAACGCGTCGACCTGGCGACATCCATCCAGGAGATATACGTCACGGACGCCAATATCATCGACGTCAATGACGGCGCCCTATCACAGCTGGATGACCTGAGAACCGCCGAGTTCTCTCGATCAGAGCGGCTTCTGCTGCGCTCCGACAGCCTCGCTGCCTCTGCTAACTCGTCTGCAGGTGGCAGCACCTCTGTGACGGTAGATGGCGTTAGAGATGTCACCCTGTTCTCTGAGGCTTTCTCCGGTCGCCGACAAGGCTCGATCAGTGTGACAGTCAACGGCGCAAAGACGTGTTCAGTAGCCGGAGAAGCCTTTCCGAGTGGATCCAGCGCTGACCAGGTTCTTCTAAGTAACATTTCAAACCTCAGCATGGACAGGAGCTCGTTCGCTGGAGCGATAGAGGAGTTGGAGCTGAGAAACGTCTCTAGTTCGTACTCATGTCTGGCCGACACATTCTCAGGACAGATCAGCCAGCTGACGCTGGACTCTGTGACCCTGAATCGGATCTCGCCGGGCTGTTTTCGTTCCAGTCACCCGTGGCAGAGTCTGGAGGTGAGGTCCAGTCGCCTGGGCGCGATCCCGCAAAGGGCCTTCACCGGGCAGATCGAGGAGGTTCGAATTGAAAACAGCCAGCTGGAGGACGTAGCTCCGGGAGGATTCGAGCTGAGTGTGACCAACTTCACCATGGAGAACTGTACCGTCGATCGACTGACTGGCCACGCTCTGCGGGTGCTGGCTGACGACACAATCAGCCTGTCCTCCTGTAACATCAGTCTACTGGAAGACGCTGCCTTATTGGGTCTCCGAGTCACCAACGACAGTGTCCAACCAATCACCATACAGCACCTAAATGTGACAGAGGCGTTTGATGGCTCTCTGCGCCTACACAACAGCGCGGGTACCATCCTCAGCCACATTCAGCTTTCTGAGCAGTGTGTGTGCTCCGTGGCACCTGAACGCGCCGCGCGGCTCGCTCTCGGCGCACCTCCTCAAGTAAACGCCACCGGCGAGGGGCCAGACGAGGGTCTCTGGTCCCTGCAGAACCTCACTGACGCCCAGATGGAGGCCGTGCGGCAGACTGCGCTGGCGGCGCACTGCTGGGAGGGGAAGATGAACTCGACCTCGGCGATGCTGGCGGAGCTCGTGTGTCGAGGTTGCGTGGTTGGTGATATGGTGGAGGACACTCCTCTCCTGCGCTGTCCGGCGCCACTGCCGACCGGTGGACGTCGCTGGATGCTGTGGCCGTTTGTTTTTATCGCCGTGCTGCTGGTGTTGGTGGCCGGATGTGGTCCCCTGCTGATGGTCAAACGATGCCGCCCTCCCGGATCGGCCCCCTCACATGAGAAGGGTGCGGTGATCAGTCACCCGGGGGGACCGGAGGCCGGTGACGCAGCAGGGGACTCTCCTCTGAAGGAGGTTCCCAGAGAACGTCACCTCTCGTGGAGAGTGGTCGGGGAGCTGGAGCCGGAGGAGGGCGTCGAACCGACCCTTCCAGTAGCCCTGCCCCTACCGCAGCCTCGTCATGTCTCCTGGAGAGTGGTCGGGGAACTGGAGCCGGAGTATCCCCATTACAGTAACGTAGCCCCGGCCGACCCGAGGCACACAGTAGCCAGTACGGACAGTGTGTGCTCCCCTGGTCTGGGTACAGGACCCAGCTGGGAGTTGGAGAGCACAGACCGGCTCCACACCACCTCAGACTACGGAGATGTGTTCCAGTCGCTGTGCTCCATACCAGAGCCGGTGGAGGATCCTCAGACCGAGCTCTGCATCAACGTGACGAGTTCTCCGGACAGGGCGGTGACTGGAGCAGAGGAGGAGCAGGATGTCTTCGCAGAGACGTCACCGACCGGCCGGCCTACTGAGACGGGTCAAAAGAGGGCTCCGACGAGAGGCAACTCTTCTCAGGAGCTGAACAATCACCGTTCTGATAGTGGAGAGACGATAGACAGTTCGCGGCGTTTGTACAGTGAAGAGCCGAGGGAAGGGGACACCTGTCCCAGTTCCCGTGGGAAGACGAGCGATATGGTCAACCACTCCCAGACCAACCCAGTAACGACAGCAGCCCACCCGAAGGCCAAGGGTAACTCAGAAAACGACACAACCTGCCCGCAGACCAGCAACCATTCGGAAAGCTCAGAAGTAAGCCATGCGACAATCGAAGACCGGCGCTTCGCAGCCGAACGAGCAGCCTCCCTGGGGAGCCCTCGACAGGACCTGGCTGAAGAGGAGCCCCTGTACGACGACGTTGAAACTGTGACACAACCGACCGGGGCCCCAGCGGAACGGAGGTGCAGCGGAGAGCTCATTGATAACGTGCTATATGGCCGAGTTTTCTAAACTGTCCGAATGTGTACCGGTACTTTGCGTGTGATGAGAAAAGGAGTCGAAACGGCGTGTACAGTGCCTCTAATGTGCAGATATGTATTGGATATCTCAATTTTGCGGACTGATAAACGCTTTAATGGATACATCGAAAGTCCTTAGATTCTGATTTTTAGCTTCACATAGTTTTCAAAGCAGTGTTAATTAAAGGCTTTCGACTTACGACACACCACCGCGAACAACTATTTTCCTACGAAGCATCCTACTTACTTGTGTAATGTGTAGGTATCATGTCATTAGATGATATGCTTGTGACCTGCTTGTTCATATCATCGATGATTCAGTAGCTCTATCATCTTACAAACTCATTGAATGTTTTCACTGTTTTACTAATTGACACGGGCTGGCGACTTGGCGTGCGTTAAAATGAAGTGATATCGTTATGGGGCTGAATGTATGAACGTCATGATGTTCGTAACTCATACGTGTCACACAGGAATGACTGATGGTGCGGTTGTATTTCGTGCATTCTCTGGGAAACGGATGAGTTTTGACAGCCATCGTCGTTTGTTGTATCTCTAAGGCATGCATACGTTTCATTATGCTGGTTATGCTGGTGGTATACGTACTAGACAAAAATAATATATGCCGCCATACCAGACCCATGTTAGAAATATGTATACAAGTTTCTTTTTTAATACTACCTAATACCTACCTATGCCGCCTTACCTTCCTTTCAGTAATGCAACGTAATTTGAAATGATGCTGGTCAGTTACTTAATAAAAATGTGAGTCATTTAATAATGCCAGTCGCTGGCTTCTCTTCCATGCAAAAGTAATACGACCTGCGATGGATGAGGATGTCCTGCAAAGTTACGCTACGTCACGACTCATGCTTTGCCTTTATTGAGTTGCGGTAAGAAACAGTGTGCTCACTCCTGACATGAAAATATGAATAGAATAGACGTGACACATTGGCACCAGCTCAAAATAGTCATCTCAAATTAACTGTAGATCATGGTAGGTTCAGAGATAAGTTTTTAAAAAAAAACTTACGCCGTGCTGAACTAAAGCATTTCATAGAATGCTCGCAAATGCTACAAATTAAGTTACAGTGGGTAAGTGAATAAAATCATGATCAAGCGTTACCTTTTAGTGTTAAACATCCATTTGTTTCTATGATAAATATTGAGTAAAAATTATTTTTGAAATGTACGACCAATTACACACACACCTTCGGGTTCCAACCCTCATGTCGAATATATGTATATAGCCAATCTGTAATCCTAGTTACTGTATTCTTAAACAAACAAATGTAATTTATTCCATAATTCAAAGTCGAATCATGTCTTTTTCTGCCTGTTCTCAGTACTGAGGGCACGGGTGACGCGAAGGTAAAAGTGATTAGTAGATTAAAAGGACACCCATGTGCACTCGCCGACCCATCCTAAAGGCTGAAACAGACTCTTTCCGCGTTCAGGAAATCGCATGCGAGAGTCTATTCAACTACATTGTAATTCTTTTCGCATCAATCGCTTGCGGGAGGTGCGTGCGATTGATGCGAGCATGCTTCCATGTATTTGAATAGGCTCTCGCATGCGATTTCCTGGCTGCGGAAAGAGTCTGTTTCAGGCATAACTCAAAGCGTGGTCTCTAAAAGATGACAGATTAGGTGTCTACCGAATTCTGTCTCGGTGGTAATAGCAACAGACAGTGACATTGGTGCATCACTGACAAATCCCTTGTGCTTTGTGCATACATAGGAATATCGTTATTAAGTACACACAAGACATTGTTCATAACAGTAGTGTTTTTCGGGGCCTCAAGAAGTAGTGGTAAGGTAGAGGTACACACCTCAGCGAGAATGCTCTACTCACTAAGATGGCCTATTTGAGGGCCATTTCTAGGTTCACATGTAATCGGGAATACAGTGGGATTGTGCTAGACCCATATGTGTTTGCCCATTGGAACTTATGGCTAAATGAATGCGTCTTTTTTAGTTTTAGAGCGGTAATAAACGACGTCTATGTGTGCATATTGCATGTACTGTGATACCGTAAAATAAACTATTGCAGACTACCGTAAACTAAAGGGCTTAGCCCTATTAGTGGTGGGTTTTTGGTTTTAAACGGAATCTGCATTTAGCTCTGAACCGTGGCATATCGCCCACAAAAATCATTATTGGCAAGGACTGTCATGTCAGCGGTGCGCACTCGGGCAAGGTAAAAGGGTTATTTGCCTTCCTCGCATCGTGTGTCGCTCTCAGGTGCAGTAGAACTGCAGCATGACAGCGCTGGTTAGAATGGTGTCGCTCTCAGGCGGAGTAGAACTGCAGAATGACGGCGTTGGTTAGAATGGTGTCGCTCTCAGGCGGAGTAGAACTGCAGCATGACAGCGCTGGTTAGAATGGTATCGCTCTCAGGCGGAGTAGAACTGCAGAATGATGACGACGTTGGTTAGAATGGTGTCGCCTTCAGGTGAAGTAGAACTGCAGCATCAGATGACGGCGTTGGTTAGGCGAAGTAGAACTGCAGCATGACGGCGTTGGTGAGGACGGTGTCGCTCTCAGACGGAGTAGAACTGCAGCATGCTGACGGCGTTGGTAAGGCGAAGTAGAACTTCAGCATCAGAATATGACGTTGTTGGTTAGGCGAAGTAGAACTGCAGCATCAGCTGACGTTGATGGTTAGGCGAAGTAGAACTGCAGCATCAGATGACGTCGTTGGTTAGGCGAAGTAGAACTGCAGCATCAGATGACGTTGTTGGTTAGGCAAAGTAGAACTGCAGCATGATGATGGCGTTGGTGAGGATGGTGGAGCCGATGGAGAGCACGGTGGACCTGCGCAGCCGGAACAGGCCCAGCTCTCCGAGTGTGTCCAGGTCGCGGCCGACCGACTCCCGGAGCAGGCCCAGCTGGCGGGAGAGCGGCGGCTGGCGCAGCTCGGCGGCCAGCAGCAGGGCGCGCGCCTCCCCGGCCGCCTCCAGACACCGCTGGATGGCCTCACTGGGTAGCACCATCGTCACCGAGGCCAGCATCAGGTACAGGGTGACCATCAGCGCCATGTCACCAAGCGTGCCCATCTTGAGGCTGCTGATCACCGTCAGGAGCATGGTGACGCAGGCGATGGTGCCGGATGCCATCACCAGCACCAACTCGGCCGACATGACCTTGGTGAGGCGACCGAAGGTGCGGGACAGCTCCCCGTGGAGCGAGATGATGTCACAGACGGCGGCCGGGTCCGGCTGGTAGCCGCCCTCCACCATGGCAGTCAGCAGCGTGTTGATTTCCTGCAGGCCGCTCTCCACATACAGAGAGGCGAGTACGTATTTGAACGAAATGAGGCAAAAGGACATTATCAGCCAACAGAATGTCATAAAAAATAATGCGTTGAGAATGCACTGCATGGATAGTGATGTACAAAACGTCGCTGACTGATAATACATAAGAGCAATGAGTGTTATTATAAATAATAAAACAACGGTGGCAAAAAGCCGGAGCGTGTTCCTCCTCAGTCGGTCAGACGATGCAGAGCTGCCGGACATCTTAGACAGTATGTGAGTTGCGGTACGTATTGCTGTGAGGTGTATCCCGAACTGGCAGCGACTAAACAGAAAAGAACAAATCACTGCCATCCACATCAGGGCATACATCAAACCGAAAAATCCGCTGATGGACAGAGCCACGATTATATGATGATCACCCTGTAACGCCCTCCTCCCCTATCAATGCCAATGCCAGTGATACAGCCTCCTCCAACGGAACTGACCGCGAACGCTAGGAAGGTGTGGAGCAGCGCGGCCCGACCTGCCCCCGTGACCAGAGCGGTGGCTCGGAGCAGGAGCAGCAGGGCGCGGGCGGCCGGTGGCGGAGCTGCCGGCGGCTCCCCGCGGGGCCCCTCCGTCCCGGCGGTCGGCCGCGGAGTGCTGGGGTGAGGGGGACCGCGCAGAGTGCGGTCGTCCTCAGGTCGGCGGACAGCCAGCACGTCCACCTTGGTCGCCATGGCGCAGATCAGATGGGACCGGCAGGAATCTGAGGGTGGAGGGCTTTATCCATCAGGCACTAGACACGGTAGGTGCTCTGAGAAACAACCATTATATAAACAACCATCAGTGGAAACAACATACATGGAGGCTTGTTGTTGAAAAGTTTGTCTGAAAATGCGCAGCGAATACATAAATAACGAATGTTTCCATCTTAGAACGAAATTTGAGGCGAG